GCTGGGGAATTCTGGGAGTTGAAGTCCACCCGTCTTAAAGTTGCCAAGGGTGAGGAACCCTTTCCCAGAGGACAGACCTGTTGGTTTCCCTTCCAGCTGCATCACTTTACCTACTAAAATAAAGCATTCATTCATTCTTTAAGATACTGATTGCCCTTTATCTGTCCCTCCCTTAAATAATCTTGAAATGTGGCTTTTCTTTGCTACTCACAAAGAAACCAACCTCTGTTTTGTTGCTTCCTCTTCCTTGCCAAGGAAGAACTTAGGCACAGACCCTTCCATTCCAGCCAGCCTCCTTCTTGGTGGAGCCAGTGATGTGTTTGGCAGAGGAGCCGGTCAGACGTCCATCAGTTCCTCCACTCAGCAGTTCCATCGCATTTTGCACCTCAGTGTCTCTTCGGGAGAACACGAAAAGCTCAGCCAGGTACTTACCATAGCTTAGATTCAGCTCGTTTCCTCTCTTCAGACCTGTCTTCCCATCTCATGACCTGTTTCCCTGTGACTCACCTGGCAGTGGCCCATTTGTGTTGGGTCGCTGAAAGGGTCCACCCTTGGCCCCTGATTCTTTGCACACAAACACGCATTGTATATAAATACATATAAAATGTTTCTTAAAGATTTTCACAGAAGTAAAAGAAAACATGATAATATAGAGTAAGAATAAAGAAAAAAGTTACAAAGAGTGTGAAAAGGAACACAAATAGATTCTTCGTCGTCTTTGCTGTCTCTCATGCCCTTCCTTTACGTCTCCCATCAACACTCACCTTTTCCTGTTTTGATCCTCTGTTATATTCTTTCTCCAGCCAAAGCTAATGTGTTTCACCAGGACGCGTGAACAATTCACATGATGAACATGCTAATCACCCTCAGCAGCCACTCGTTAACAACTCAACAGAAAAAAACCTGCCTAATCCCCAGGAAGATACACATATATCTTGACACCAAAACAAGCAGCCACTCGTTAACCCAAACCCCCCACCCCTTCTGGCACCCTCACTGATCTCTATAAATACCCACAACAGGGTCACATCATCCTGGGCACAGAGA